CTCAAAGACTCAAAGACTCGAGGACAACTACACAACGGCTCTATAGCTCGACAGCTACACAGTCTACACGCTCTCAACAGCTGATAAGCTCGGACATACAGAGCATACGCTCCGATACTTAGCGCACGTTTGAGTATCTGTCACTCTCTTTCACTCGGCTTAGAGTCCAACCGGGCCTCCAACACCCCCTTCTCATTCCTTACTCGTTTGTAAACTTCGAGCACCTGGGCTTAGAAATAAAGTCACCGACCGACCTCAACTGGACGTAGGGCCTGATGCCTGAATCAATATAAATCCTGTGTCATTGAGTGCTAGTCCATATCCGATCACAACGCACGATAAAACTATAAATATTTACTCGTTGGCCACATTTCGCACCGACATGAATTGAATTAGATTATACCCCCTCCGTCCCAAATTATAAGTCATTTTATTTTTTTGGAGAGAAATCGTGTCAAGTTTCACCAAATTTATATAATAAAATAATAATATTTATGATAAAAAATATGTATTCTTCATTGATTATATTTTATATTATACATAATTGATGTCATATAAATCTTTATAATTCTCTCTATAACTTGATCAAACTTAAAATATTTTGATTTTTTTAAAAATTTAGAATGACTTATAATTTAGAACAAAGAGAGTAGAACGAAACTCTCATGTTTACGAGACTTGCTCAGCTCGTCGCCTCATAAGACGGCAAAAACCTGGCACATGGTCAAAGCATATCACTCTCACCTCTACAGTAATGGTAAATGATAATCACACTCCAAAGTCAATAAGGCGAACTTGGCTACTGCTACCGTGTCAGTTGTCTTGATATGCCATATCTTATGCGGATAACTACGGGCGAACCACCACAAGCACGTTGGGAGTGCTTTGTTGCATCAACGTTGCTCTCAGAGGCGTCACTGTCATGCCCGTGCTGACAAACTTTTCCCGTGTCCAACTTGAGATTAGATAACCAGCCACAGCTAGCTAGCACCAGTCAGCAAGCGTAGCGCCGTAGCGTAGAGGAAGAGAGAGCCGACATGCATGCATGGGAGATGGGACTCGCCTGAAACTTGAAACTGTCGCCTGTGCACTGCTTGTGGAGTGAGGGGATCCAGTCCATATGAGGCAACCGGACAGGCGGACACACCACCGGCTGATAAGGTAGGTACCGTTGGCTGATTTTTTAAATTTGAAAATATTTTTTATTTCTTAAAAAATATAACTTATAGATCTTGATGAGGACAAAACTTTTCAATTTGAGACAATCTAGGGTTCCGAAACAGCCTGTTTAAAAATCACAAATTTAAACCGTCCAAACTATCTCAAATGGAAAGTTGATCGTATGATTGTAGATCTTGATCATAGACAAACTTTGTATTCAAAACTTTTCAATTTGAAGTCATTTAGATTTAATGTGAAAAAACCAAATTTGACTTGGTCATTCTAACACTAAATCCTCAGATCAGACCGAGGGGTAGTAGCTCGGCGGAACGGTGCATTAACCGAACGAGATGATAATTTGCGAGTCGCGACAATCAGGACGAGCGTAAAGATTAGCCCCCCTTTGGACTCGGAGGGTGGAGTGGGGGACTGGAATGCTTGCTGTTGCCTTGATGTGTTTAAAAAAGGGCAAGCAACGGCCCAGTGCCATGGGCGTGAAATATCAGTCGTACACGTATGTTTCTTTGATTGCCTCTCATCTTATAGCATCTATTCATATACACGTATATCCACTCAACATACGTACACTATTTACATTATCTATGTACAAATAAATTTATAACTATACTTAGATTGCTCAAATGAGACACTAAATGACCTCAGATGAAAAAACTCTTGTTTGATCATCTCAGCAAGATCCATTGATTTTATAGATGACAAACACTAGTCACGATTCTGTTTCCAAAACTATTTCACCACGCGTGAGAGACATGCTGCACAGCAGACACCCAGATACGACACCAGCGTTGCGATCGCCGAGGATCTGGCGGGCAGACTCGCCACTGCAAGTACGAGGTGTTTGGGTTTTTAATCGCTTTTAAAATTCGTGTCACATCAAATATTTAGATATTAATAAGAAATAATTAGCAAATGTTTATTGTAGCACTACAATATTAAATCATGGACTAATTAGGCTTAAAGGATTCGTCTCGTAAATTAATCATAAGTTGTATAATTAGTTTTATAATTAATCTATATTTAATATTCTATTTATATGTTAAATATTCGATGTGACAAAAATTTTAAAAGACGCAGTAGCAGCCCAACAGGGCCGTACCACTGAGGCACCGGCTCGTTCGCAGTCGTACACGTATGTTGTGGTTGTGGAAATATGATTTCTCTGTTCTCTCTCTAGGCGGAAGGCGCGAGATATTTTCCCTACTCCCTAGCGATGTACTAGCGCTAGCAGTAAGCCAGTAAAACTCAACAGTTCAGCATTTCTAATATCACTGCAAATGGTTCTCAAAAAAGGGGAAAAAAACTAGCAGCAATGTTAGAATGATCACTGAAGAGTTCCTATACCATGACAGTTGACAGGAATTCACAGCTAGCACAGTACTGTTCACTTTGTTAAAAAGACCCAACTGAAAAGTATTTTTTGCTTGCTGACGTAAGAAAAAAATACTGTTCGCTGGGCTGATAACACAGACCAACGGGGCTAGTCGAACATTTCCAAACCTGTTCGTCGAAGTCGTGCAAACCAATGCAATTTGTCCGGCTCTGTCCTTTGAGTATCGTATTCATATGGCTTGATCCACAGGTGGAGACGCGAGCTGATTATAGTGATTACAAAAACACAACGCTTTCACCTGTGTGGACCTAAACGAGCCGATTAAAAAGGGCAAGGCGGCCCAGTGCCATGGGCGTGAAATTTCGTTGTTTTTTGATTGCCTCTCATCTTATAAGTTGTCTTCCACTCAACACACGTTTCTATTTTACGCTATCTGAAATAAAATTTTTATACTTAGATTGATTTCACTGACGGGCACGTTTAATTCTGTTTAGCATGACGCGTTAGAGACATCTGCACAGCAGACACTCTAACACGACACCAGCGTTGCATATGAGGATCTGACGGGCAAACTCGCCACTGCAAGTACATTGTTTAGGTTTTTAATCGTTTTTAAAATTCGGTCACATCAGCGTTTAGATATAATACCATAATTTTGAGCATTTTAAATCCAATTTTCATAACATAAAAATTTGTGTTATGAAAATTAGATTCAAAATACTCAAATTTATATTGTTATGATAGAATTTTAGAGATGCAGTAGTTTCTTAAACAGGGCTGTACCACTGAGGCACCTTGGCTCGTTCGCATCGTACCATTTATGTTGTGGTTGTGGAAATATGATTTCTCTGTTCTCTCTCTAGGCGGAAGGCGCGAGATATTTTCCTACTCCCTAGCGATGTACTAGCGCTAAAAGTGTAAACTCAACAGTTCAGCATTTCAAATAGTTAAGAAATTTTATTTCAGGACCAAGAAAGAAAGACAACTTTAAACCAGGACCAAATAAGAAATTTTGTCATTAAACAACTACGCATTCGCACCTGTTGCACGCAACGAACGATGCGCGTAGTGAAAAATGGCATGGATTTGGATATGAAACGGTGATTTGAGTTACTACACCAGCATTCTGGTTTCGGTGTGTTTAGGGAACTAACTAATTTTAGCGAAAAAAAGATCTAAACAAGGTAAGAAAAGTGCATGCGCAGTGTGAGTGTGACTACTCACTTTTGCTCGTTGGTGAGGAAACTGGTTGAATTACTTGCCACAAAAAACTTGAGAAATGAGAGAAAAAGAAACACAGCCCGTGTTTAGTTCAAAAAAAAGTTTTCAAAAAGTGATATCCATCCCATCGAATCATACGATACTTGCAAGAGCATTAAATGTAGACAAAAAAACTAATTGCACAGTTTAATTGGGAATCGCGATGCGAACATTTTGAGCCTAGTTAATTCATAATTAAACACTAATTACTAAATAAAAACCAAAAAAATAATCATTAAACAACTAAATTCCCAACTTTTGTCATTAAACAACTACGCATTCGCACCTGTTGCACGCAACGAACGATGCTTGAATTTGGCATGGATTTGGATATGAAACGGTGATTTGAGTTACTACACCAGCATTACTGGTTTCGGTGTGTTTAGGAACTAACTAAATGTTATGGAAAAAAGATCAAAAACTAAAGAAAAGTTGCGCAGTGTGAGTGTGACTACTCACTTTTGCTCGTTGGTGAGGAAACGGTTGAATTACTTGCCAAAAAACTTGAGAAATGAACACATTGTTTAGTTAAAAAAAGTTTTCATTATCCATCACAAAATCAAAATATGCCATCTTTAGAAAGCGTTAAATGTAGACAAAAAAAACTAATTGCACATTTTTACGGAAATCACGATACGACCGCTTTTAAGCTAGCCGAATCCATAATTAAACCGAATCCTAAATCCAACGAAAATAAACGTGGCCCAACTAAACACGGACACAGTGAAAAAACCAAAAGAAAACGCCAGCCCTGCCCCCTGGGCAGCCTGTAAGGTTTCACGCGATGACACGTTGCAGTCCGGCCCGTAGAAAACGCTGCGGCAGCAGAGCCATGCTTGCTGCGCACCAGCTATATACACCGTGACACGTCTCCATGTGGACCCGATTCACGCAGAAAGTCCAGCACGCCTATGGACCAGGTCCATGATATTTCCCCTCGGAATGGCAGCCACACGCGCTCTACAAAATAATAGGCCGGCCACGCGTGCCATGCGATGTTCCCCAGACGCAGCAGCACGGCAGTCCTCGGTTTCCTTTCCTCGTCGGCCGTCGCACCGGTTCTCTCCTCCTCTATTTCCCCCGTCGCGAGATCTCCTGATCTCTCTAGCGCACGGCGGCCGCAGAAGAGGAGGAGGGGCACGATCTCATTCATCGGATCGGCGTGCCTGTGTTGTCTGTTGTTTTGATTTTTTTTTTTACTCTTTTTGTTTGGGGGCGGCGGTTCGCCATGGGATTCGGAATGGGGGATAACGGGGCGAGCTCCTCGTCGTCGCGGCTGGACCCCGCGCCGCTGCTGCCGCGCCACGGCAGCGGGAGCCGCGAGGCTGGCCTGTCGTCGCAGCCCAAGACGTTCGCCAACGTCTTCATCGCGGTGGTGGGCGCCGGCGTGCTGGGGCTGCCGTACACCTTCTCGCACACCGGGTGGGCTGCGGGGACGCTGCTGCTCTTCTCCGTCGCCGCGCTCACCTTCTACTGCATGATGCTGCTCGTCGCGTGCCGCCGCCGCCTCGCCGACGAGCACCCTAAGATCGCCTCGTTCGGGGACCTCGGGGACGCCGTGTTCGGCGCGCACGGCCGGTTCGCCGTGGACGTCATGCTGGTGCTCAGCCAAGTCAGCTTCTGCGTCGGGTACCTTATCTTTATCTCCAACACCATGGCGCACCTCTACCCGATCACCGCGCCGTCCTCCTCCGCCCTGCTCTCCCCCAAGGCTCTCGTCATCTGGGCTATGCTGCCGTTCCAGCTCGGGCTCAATTCCATCAAGACGCTCACGCTGCTCGCGCCGCTCAGCATCTTCGCCGACGTCGTCGACCTCGGCGCCATGGGCGTGGTCATTGGCCAGGACGTCGCCGCCTGGCTCGCCAAGCCCGTGCCCGTGGTCGCATTCGGCGGGCCTGCCGCGCTTCTCTACGGGCTTGGCGTCTCCGTGTACGCGTTCGAGGGCGTCGGCATGGTGCTGCCGCTGGAGGCGGAGGCGGCGAACAAGAGGAAGTTCGGCGTCACGCTCGGGCTGTCCATGGCGTTCATCGCCGTCATGTACGGGCTGTTCGGCGTGATGGGGTACGTCGCATTCGGCGACGCCACGCGCGACATCATCACCACCAACCTCGGGGCCGGGTGGCTGTCGGCCGCCGTGCAGCTGGGGCTCTGCATCAACCTGTTCTTCACCATGCCGGTGATGATGAACCCCGTGTACGAGGTCACCGAGCGCCTGCTCCACGGCAAGCGCTACTGCTGGTGGCTCAGGTGGCTGCTCGTCGTCGTCGTCGGACTCGCCGCCATGTACGTGCCCAACTTCACGGACTTCCTGGCGCTCGTCGGGAGCAGCGTCTGCGTCCTCCTCGGGTTCGTGCTGCCGGCCTCGTTCCACCTCAAGGTGTTCGGCGCCGAGATGGAATGGCCCGGAGTGGTATCCGATGTCCTGCTGGTCGTGATCGGCCTCTCGCTCGCCGTGTTCGGAACGTACACGTCGCTGCTGCACATCTTCCACTCGTCAAGCGCTTGATCGCCGCACCTTCTGCTACACACGGAGGATCAATTTCCTTCCTCCGCGCATTAGTTTCAGGTACCTTGGTCGCGCTCCTGTGTTCAGAGAAGTGGATTAGAGGATTTGGAGGAACGAACGCCCGCCCCATCTTTCAGCTGTTCGTCCATTTGGGTCCGCATTTTCCGTCGATCCTCGTTCTTCCAGGGCAGATTACTATGCAGGTGTTGCTCGTGAGTGGCTTGTACCGGATGGGGAAGGGAAAATCTGTACACTTTTGTTACGACAGATTTCAGTTACTCCCTGTACGAGTGTATGCGTCCTAGATGTTCCTTCTGCTGTGCAGGATTTGATTCGATGAAAGGACAAAATTTTCACTTCGTGAGTGGCCACATGTTTGCTTCCGGTGCTAATTTCACTTGTGAATTGGTCCTTTGTCCATCTGAGGCAGGCCTAGCAGCTAGGACAGACGGACGAGTTCGAGTTTGTATCACGATTCATGTACACTCTTAAATTTCGGTCTCCCTTTCATTTAGAAAGCTAATAAGCTATTCTGGACAAGCAATTGGGACGAGTTGTATCGCCACTTGTCAAGGTATACTCAGTTCAGTCCTCTTATTAAGAACACACAATGGTAGTTTGAGACATGTTCAGAGTTGCAAATGCGTACATCAAGTAAATGCACGTGCGGTTATGCGTTCCTTTTCTATGTTTTTTTTTTTGAAATTCCTTTTCTCAGTTGACAAGCGACCATAGAGAAACGTCGCTGACAGAAGAAAAAGTAATGGAAACTTCTCGGGCCCTTCTGCTGCTCTGCCGACTGGAAGATCTGGCTTATCATCCTTGGATGTTGTCCATCAGTCTGCTTATCGTCAACCTGTTCGTTTGGCTGTGACTTGTCGTAAACGATCATAAATTTTCAGCCAGAACAATATTTTTCTCTCACACAAACAAACCAACAGTACTTCTTCACGAATCAGCAACGATACGAACCAGCCCGAACATAAGGGCGCTGGTGTCACCAGATAAGGGCGATGGCCATTCAGCCAGCTGAACGCCTTTTCGCCTTTTGTGGTGTCGAAGCGCCGCTTTCCTCAACTGACTTGCGTTTGCTCGACAGGTCGGAGAAAATAACTTTATTTTTCTTTTGGATGGGTCTCACCTCACTTTTTACACAAGGTTTTTAACGTTTCGCACAACTTTTATAACAAGCTGTTTTTATTTGATAGCCGTTTGCTAATAGGAAGTCGGGGCTAGAGTTATGTCAAACGTGATCTAAATAGGGGATGCAAGCTGCAAGATGGGTTGGGTTATCTACAAACATGTATATAGGCTTAGTTTTTATTGGTTTTGCGGCAACCCACAAAAATTATGCCTATTTAATGGTTCACGGACAGCCCAATCCACCTTGCATCTCTAAGGTTAAGTCCCAATAGACTATGACTGATGATTAATTGAGGGGCAAGAGCATGTAAGCAGAATGATGATATGGCATTGGAACTAAGAAGAAGAGAAGAAAATAGTCTCTTTTAGGCTGTGTTTAGTTCGCGAAATTTGGGAATTTGACTACTGTACCACTTTCGTTTTTATTTGGTAATTATTGTTCAATCATGAACTAATTAGGCTCAAAACGTTCGTCTCGTGATTTCCAACCAAACTATGCAATTAGTTTTTTTTTTCGTCTATATTTAATGCTCCATGCACGTATCGCAAGATTCGATGTGATGGCTACAGTAACACTTTTTGGGAAAGTTTTTGGGAACTAAACACAGCCTTGAAAAAAATCATGTCTACACAGGAGTTAAGATAAGATTGTCATAGCTGGATGATAGAAGAGAGAAGACAGTGAATTGACCATTTTTTTTTGTAGAAATCATTTAGGCTTGTTTGAATATAATCATGGGATTGAGATCAAATTAAACTAATTTCCACTCCAATTTATTTCAACATATGAAAAGGGCGAAGCCTAAGGTCTCAAGAATTTTTTAGGCAGCGACCAGCGGAAAGAAAGGGTTGGTGAGAGGCCAAAAAATAAAATTCGATTTGGTTTTCTATTTGGAATGGGTTGGAAGGACTAAAAGGTAGAAATATGCTTAGAATCTAACGACAGAGGAGGAGCACTTTGGTCCGAGAAATGTAAATGTTGGCACCATAAATAGTGTTACCAAGGAATAAAATCGAGCAAAGTAATCCCACTTACCGAGAATTATTTACTCCTTTTCCTACTGTTGAAGACTTCAGTCGAGAATAGCACAGAGTAAATAGATGCTATTGTGTTAAGAAATGAATATAGAGAGGGTAAATATAATCAGATAATATTTAGTTCTATATAATAGATTTATTTGCGAAACTTGTACATAATATTTTAGACCTTACTAAATTAGATTAGATTAGATTATGGAGACGGCTAGTAGATTTTTAATAAGCACGGACATGTACATTTGCATTTCAGGAAACCCTATTTGCCCATTAAAGTACTACTATAAGAGAAAGTTAGTTTTTAGGCCCTAAAAAAGTTGTGCTTAGTTCTTGGCCTTTTTCTTTTGAACTTGCCCATTTGGCCCAAAACAAATTTCGTTTAGTTTTTTTTGGCACTTCCGTTAGTTTGATGGAAAAGGAGTAAACCCTGGAAACTAATTTTGTCAAGTACTGTACTAATCACGTGCATGCCAATTTCGTGGTCACCATACTTTTCTTTTTCTTTTTGTTTTCTTCCTTTCTTAGTCTCTGTTGGATGGGCCTTCCCTGCTGAAAGTGTTGGATGGGCCTTCGCTGCTGAAAGTTTGTTAGCCTGTTGGGTTCTGCACCGTTCTGCACTTCTACTGCGGGGCATGTGGGAAAAAGTATGCATTACCTCCCTCAATTTTCACGAAAGTCCATTTTTCTTCCCTGAACTTCAAAATCGGACAAAACACCTCCATCAACTTTTAAAACCATTCATCTTACCTCCCTGAGCCCGGTTATAAGCTGTTTTGAAGGCAATTTTGTCTTTTTCCTTTTTATTTATTTTGGCTAAATCTTTGAAAAATCATAGTAAATCACAGAAAAATCATAAAATAGAAAATCCAATTTTTTAGACTCCACGTGAGTAGATCTACACAGTGAACATATAATATGGTATGTTTCGGTACAAAGTTTTTGTTATAGCTTTAGATATATGCTTTTATATAATTAAATAGAATAATTCATAGCTGCAGTTTCGATGGTCCAATTGTGGTGAAATTTTCATGGTGGGCTAATTATTGTATGCTTAAATTGTAGTAAAAATTCACACTCATTAGATCATGTATAACTTAGTTATAGATTTTATTTAGGTTTATGCTTGTTAAATATAAATAAATTTATAACTAAGCTATACATGATCTAATGAGTATAAAATTTTTACTACAGTTCAATCATATAATAATTAGTCCACCATAAAAATTTCATCACAATTAGACTATAAAAACTGCAGCTATGAATTATTCCAATTAATTATATAAAAGCATATATCTAAAGCTACAGCAAAAACTTTGTACTGAAGCATACCATATTATATCTTCACTGTGTAGATCTACTCGTGTGGAGTCCAACAAAATTAAATTTTCTATTTTATGATTTTTCTGTGATTTACTATGATTTTTCAAAGATTCAGTCAAAATAAATAAAAAGCAAAAGAAACCGCCTTCAAAACTGCTTATAACAGGGCAGGGGGTTAAGATGAGCAGTTTTAAAAGTTGAGAAAGGTGTTTTACCCGGTTTTGATGTTCTAGGGGAAAAACTGACTTTAGCGAAAATCGAAGGAGGTAGTGTGGACTTTTTCTGGGCACCCGCGACTCGAAGCCATTTGGTGCCCTATTTGCGTGGCAAGCGTAGATGCTTCACTAAAGATGGCAATGGATTTGTACCCGATGGGTATTACCCAGCCACACCCGTGCACATTAGGATAAATCGTACCCATTAAGAAACACATGCCCATGCATGGGTACAACTCTGTGCCCATACCCATGCCCATGCAGGTATCGGGTACCCATGGGTTGCCCATACCCGAGAAAACATATGTAAGATTGCATGGTATTATCAATTTCTAGTCACTTCATGAAAATGAGCATATCACAAATTTGTAGGTGTATAAGAGATGTAATCATATGCAAAACATACGCACATGGGTTTGCAGAACATATACAAACTTGTAGAGATGTAAACATATGCATATCACAAATTTAGGGATACATATGCCTGAATCTCAGATACAAACCGGCTATATATATGTCCATGAGTTTGTGGGTTCGGGTGATATAATACCACGCCCATACCCACACGCTCGATGGACATGGCTTTTTGCCCATTAGTATGCCCATGAGTACAGATTTTAATCCATACACATGTCTTAATAGGGTAAAAATATATCGGGTTTCGGGTCAGGTACCCATTGCCAGCCTGTTCGGCTGGGACTGAAACGATCGTATACGATCGTGGATTATTACTGCTGTCTGGTTTGGTGTGAGAAGGAAATACTATTTTAGCTGAAAATTTACGATTATTTACGATCGAGCGAACAGGTCGTTTACGCTTCAACGCGAGTCACGAAGCCACGGGCCTGCAGGCACCCAATCAGGCGTAGCCAGCCCACACTCAGCCGAGTCAAAAAAAACCTCTGCTCTGGTCGGATGGCGCGCCCACGTATGCCCGGGATGAGTCCTAGCCTCCTAGGTGCCCGCACGGCCACACGGGCACGACGCGTGCCGCGTGCGACAAGGAAAGGAACGGGGCTCTGAACCAAAAAGCGCACCGCGCACGGCACCGCTCTCTAGTCTCCACAGCCACGAGAGACCTGTAACAGAACCGACCAATTATACGAAATTAAGTAAGAAAATCATCCGCTAGAGCAGACGATTTAGCAAACTTAAGTCTGTATAACCCGGTAGTCCGTGAAATCACGAAGGATTTCAAACCAACTTCCATTCCAGCCAAGATCGTAATAAGTTTAGCGGTCACCATCACATATTACATAAAAGTTTGCATCTCAGATACATCAGAGTTTAAACATAGTTATTACAAAATGAGTTCAAATAAAAGTAGCGGAAGCCATTTGTTCAAACCATACACGCTCACACGGAGTTCAAATACAGTGCCAGCTAATGATCATATCCAACAAAAACATCAGGCGAGACGTAAGGAATGACCATGCCCATGGTCCTAAGCATCACCCATCGCAGGATAAAGACAATTGATACAGTAGCCGTAATACATCTGCCCATCTGCAACAAGTGGGAATAAAACCCTGAGTACGAGAAGGTACTCAGCTAGACTTACCCGACATAACCAAAAATAAATGACACCAAGGATTATGAAGGGCATTATAGTAGGGTAGCTGACTCATTTACAAAGAAAGCATTTTTAGCATTTCAAAAACCTTTCTAAAGACATTATTGCCAAGTTAATTAATTATAACCTGTCGACTAGATTTGCACCTATACTAGAGCAAACATGTGATTAAGCCAATAATGATAACCAATGATCATTAACCACTTCCATATTGTCATATGCATTATAACTGTCCAAGTGTTCCATTAACATTACTACGATGAAGTAACTCAAGTCAAGTGGTCACTATCCAGGAGCGATGGCGATTCGAATCGATTTCTAACCAGCTGGTGATTTATTCCTTACACAAACCTCACTCACCCGCTAAAGTAAGATATTGATCACCGAGTCAACTATTCAGGAATCTCGAGTTTGCTAGGAACCATTTGTACCCGGGGGCCGACCGACTGCACTTTGGTCTTATTATCTCGCCCCCGTGTCCTACCACACCTGCTCCGGTACAGTGCGTTGCGGGCAATCTACTCGGCCCGAATAATCTCCCAGCTTCGCGGTCGAAAGGTACTTTATCCGGCCAGCTAAATATAAGGCATGCATTCAACATGACTTAAGGCCCAACAACGGTCGGTCTTTAATCGACACAGACGGAAAGCACTACAGTCCAAAACTCTATAAGTCTCCGTCTGGTCTCAACTTCATTTAACACTTAGTTATACCATGACTTCATAGTCATCCAAGTAGATCCAGGTAACCACCTATAGCTCGCAGGTGACAGGAAATCCCCCGACTTCTACCGGTCTAAGCCAGCTAAGCATTGACTCGACTGCGGATATCAGGGTAACAAGGATATAGTATAACAAAGGTAGACAAGGTATAATGCAGCAACGGTTGCAAACAACTCCTGAACGTAATGCATCAATTAAAGTAAAACATTTAATTAATAATTGCAAACTGGGAGAAAATGCTCCGGGGCTTGCCTCTCTCGAAGGAGCTCGGGCGGTGATCGGGGCACTCCGGAATTTCCTCAACGTCCTCCTTGTCGGCTTCGGGCACTTCCTGCGGCTGCCGGGTATGACGACTGGGTTCTCGGTTTGCGATCCTGTATGATGCAATGTGCGTAAGTGCTTATGCCATCGATGCATCGGATGAGATGAATACAATGGGTATGCTTGAATGCAAGGTAGTCAACATCATCCAAGAACATATATTACAAGCACATGTCATCTACTACATTCTCTTCTACTATTAATATGCTAAATCAACACATCTTATTAAATGCTTCAAAGATACACCAAAGATTTACTAATTTCTTAATCACACATAAAGCAACACTTGATTAAACCCTAATTAATAATAGGTTTGAATAGTAACATCTATTTTTATTGCTTAGAAAAATCTTAGACAATTACTATAGCACAGTACTACCCTAGGTAGTCTACCATCAGATTTTCATGGTATTGGAATGAGTGGATTAGCCTACACAAAAATAACAAGCTATGGCATGATTATGAACATGAAAATACTTTGTACTGTGAAAAGTGTCAAACAACAGAGTTAGTATTTTTTCTATGATCTTCATAGCATACAATCCCTGTACAAAAATTATCACATGCATGTTTTATACAATCTTTGCTCTCTAGCAAAAATAACAAACATCAGCCATTAAAGGCACTTGAACTACACCTCATAATTTTTCTACAGCACATGCATGACACATATTTTTTCTAAGAAGTACATTACATAAGAAGATTAACAAACTTGGAATCATATTTTTCTGAAGCCTATAGGTTTTTCTACATATTTTTCAAGTTATCAGCAATATCAAGGATTAAATAAAGCTCTACAGAAAAGTATTTTAAAAATGACATGCAATATTTTTCTCATGTAGATCTGGTGACACGGAACCTAGCAAAATTTGTCTCAACAAATTTGAAGCCAAAATGAGTACACAAACATTTTCCAAAGCCTTTAAGTAGAAATCTGAAAAATCATTTTTGAAATCCTTTTTAAACTTCAGCCGACACAATCGCTGGGTGCACCCGATGCTGTACACCCAGAGAGGCTGCCACGCGGGACCCAGCGGATCAACCGGCCCCACTGGCCAGTCACCCGGAGGCAGGGGACGGCTTTGACCGGCCAGATCTCACCAGTGGCGTGGTCGGCACTGTTGGACTCCACCACAGCGATGCACACCCGTTGGTACAACTTGCAAGGCCAGAGGACCACCGGAGCAAGGTGGCCGGTGGCCATGGCGCGCGGTGGCGCTGCAGAGCGGCGGCACGGGCTCGTTCCGACGCAAGGGTGGCCGGAGCGGCGTCGTTGACTCGCAACCGAGCTCCGCCATTGCGCGAGGCGCCACGGTCTTGTGAAAAAGAGAGAGAGAGGAGGCGGAGCGGGGCTAGCCACGCGGCGTCAGGCGCCTGCGGCCGAGCTCTCGACAACGACAGCAATGGAGGAAAAAACTCGCGATTGGGCCTCACCTCCGGTCCGAATCACGTGGCGAAGCTGGTCGGCGGCGTGGTGCGCGAGGTGGCGATCTTGCGGGTGAGGTGGAGGGTTCAACGGCGAGCCGTGGTGGCCGGGCGAAATGGTCGGCAAGGCGCGCGCGCGATGGCGGCGATCGCAGTACGCTGTATTCTTTGCCGCACTCTTGAGTGAGTGAGTGAGTGAGGAGTGGAGCGCAGCCTTGTTGCCGCTTTGAGTGTAAGTGCGTGCGGCGCGTCGAGTCCGTTTACCGCGACACAGCGGGGTCGCTGTCGTCGTCGTGGTATGGCCACCTGTGCGGGCGTGCTCTCCGCCATGAACGGGCGAAGTGAACAGACGCGACTTCAGTATTGGCAGCCAGACCTTGGCACAATCAATGGGCCGAGGCGAGGTGGGTCGGCTGGCGGGCGGTTTGGCTGGGCGGCCTGACCAGTGGGCGAGAAACGAGGCGGCGACCGTGTGAAAGGAGAAAAGCCTTTTTCAAATTATATTTTTAAGAAATTTTCAAATACTAGCTTTAAAATATCATTTTGAGCAAGAAAATGACATCTTTTGAAAATGTACCAAAAATGAAAGTTGTTTAGAATTTAATCATCTACATCTTTTCTTTTATGACTAAAGTCCAATTCTATCTAGATTTTGAATTATAAAATTAAAGTCAATTTTAACTCAAAACCTTAATTTTGGAGAATTATTTTTAAAACAGAATTTGGCAATAATTGCAATACAAACTTTGCTCCAAAAATTGCGCTAAATAATTCTAGATGATTTACAATCATAACCAAACAAGTTTTACTAACCTAGCAAGCATGATTAGGGCAAAAACAACACTAAACAAGTGTATGTAACATTTACGTTTCACAAGCATGTTTCGTATGTTTCGAAACAGGGTTTCAATTATTATTTACATGATTAGGTATGTATGATTAGGATGCTTGATGATGTATGATTAGGATGCTTGATGATGCATAATATGCATGATTTACAGTGTCTAAATGCTGGCATAACACTAGGGTGTTACAAGACCTCTCCCTCGCCGACGGCGCAGCGCGCGCCACTTCTCCCATTGGAAATTCCCAAATCACCCATAAGGCTATATCTCCAACAACGACGTCCAAAATATAAGACTCATTCATTTTTTTGGCAGCGCTACAGTTAAAAGATTCAATACTTATTCGACATCTTCTCCAATAACAAAACCCAAAAGAAGATTATTTCTATAAATAAATTTCTAAAAATAAAGATACTCATATTTAAATCGTGGATCTTAGAAACTAAAATAGATCTTCCTTATAGCAACCCCGTTCGCTACCCATTCTTGGTTTTGGTGTCCTCGTCGGAGACAGTCTAAAAAAATGGGGGAAACGAATGGGTCCTTCCGTCGCACAAACGCCGCAGCCTAGAAAAACGCCTCGTTTTCAGATTGCGATCGCCGATCGTTCCGCGGATTGCGATCACCATGGCCGTCATGGGCTGGTCCGACCTCCCCTCCGAGCTCCTCACCGACATCGCCGGTGGGATCACCGAGCTCGCCGATATCGCTCGGTTCCGCTCCGTCTGCTCCTCCTGGCGATCGGCGGCGCGGGCCGCCGCGGCCGCCCCGCCGCCGCAGCCGCCGTGGCTTCTCCTCCCGTCGTCCCCGTCCCGGCTCTTCTTCTGCCCCCGAGAGGACCGAATCTACCCGAACCTCCGCCTGCCCCGTCCCGCCGCGGAGATGCACCACCGCCGCCGCCGCCTCTACACGTCCCCGCATGGGTGGACCCTCGCCTATGACCCGACAGATCTGGCTGCTTCCCTCGTCCACCCCTTCACCGGCGCTACCCGCCCGCTCCCGCCGCTCCCGGCCTTCTTCAAGGAGACCGACGACCTGGCCTGGGACTGGTCTCTGCACGGCGTCATGGCGTCCTGCGGCGAGGGCCTCCTCTTCTGCGCCGCCGATCCGACGACAGCCGCCTCCTGGGCCCCGATCCCCGCCCTGGCCGATTGCAACGCCAGCAGCATCAACTACGCCGGCGGTCAGTTCTTCGTCTTCGAGGAGGACGTCTGCCGCACCACCATCGTCGACGCGGCCACCCTTGCCGTCGCCGCCGTGATCCCGGCCCCCGCCGTCGAGCTCCCCACCGAGGCGCGCGTCGCGGTCGCCGGCGACGAGCTCTTCCTCCTCGTCAAGTCCAAGTGGATGTACCTCTTCGGCGCCGACGTCGACTTCTCGAAGGCCTTCCACGTCAACCACCGCGGCGTCAATCCGGCCTGGCAGGAGCTCACAGGCATCGGCGACCGTGCGCTGTTCGTCGATTCCCTCCACGGGTTCGCAGTGCCGACGGCGGGGTTTGGCAATCTTGAGAGCAACACCATCTATTCAGTGAGCAGCAACAACAGGCGTCCCACCACGGTGAACTACAGCGTGTCGGCATTTAGCCTGGAGACCCGCATCTCCAAGAAACTTGTGTGCATGCTCAACGGCCGGGAGATGGCGAAGCGTGGCGAGAAGCCATCGTGGATCGTACCGAGCTTGGATGAGGTCTGAGTCTGCAGAGCTTGGAGATCATTATTATTGTGCAATCAGTGTTGATATATGGCTCTAGGTAATTTATTCGGTATCCTTGCAGTTGCTATAGTTATTTGAAGTTCGAACCAGCAATAATCCCCTTCAATATATAAGTTAACTCCTGTAAATTCTTAATTCTGTCGATTATATAGATTGATTAAAGTTCTCTTGATCAATCACGCAGTCCCAATATATGTGAGTCATATTTGTTGGAAAATTTCCATCAAATTCATTATCCTCTGTTAATGTTCAAGTTTAATAAATGATTGCATGTTCTGTTCATTTCAAGCTTAATAAAGGTTTGTTATATCAGCGTTGAGCGTGTTGCTTGAGTTCCATATTTAAGTTGTGAAATTTGATTGTTTCCAGTATTGTGTGAATTGGATGTCTTTCTTTTTGTCTATTATACAACATTGTGATAATTGAAACCCGAAAAGCAATTTAGGCATAGCATGATTAACTTAACTCAGTAGCGATGGTGCCTATTTGGATGTTTGGGTAATCGTGTTTGGTTACATGTGTGGTCTGAAAGGATGAATGGATGGGGTAAAGTATGTCCAACAATGACAGGGCACCCTGGGGAGGAAAATGCTCTGAAAGGGATATGCCAGTACTCCGGGGTTAGGTGATGGACATGGATGGGGTAAAGTAAAGGATGAATGGATGATAGGGAGATGATGCATGGGCGGCAGGGAATAGAATGATACTGGTTGGCTGGTTGCTTGTGTGCGACCAATTATCCAATTATTTTCATCATTTCCTCGAGAAACTGAAGATAAGCATGACAGGTTATACAATTGAGAGTCTGACTCAACGATGATACCAACAGCTGGAGACGAGTTATCGAGGTGTGTTGTATAAAATGAGGATGATTTTACTTTGATTTTGCAGATGTCTTAAGCAAAGCGTTTTGTGTTTTTTTCTTTTTAATTAAAGAAGAAAATCAATCAGGTAGTAGTAGTAACAAGGAAGGCGATGGCTACACTTTGGAGTTACCAGAGAATCCTAATTGAGGAGTGTCGTTTGGAGTATCCAATAGCAGCGCGAAAATGGCAATTAAAAGCACCAGGTGCCATCATTGCGGCCCTGCGGATTGTAGAATTTGGGGCAACGGATGTGGAGTTTGGGAGGAGAGAGAGACGTGTTAAATGCAACACAGACTACGAGAGTGATTAATATGGATCGGTGGACCGTTCATCTCTAGAAATTGATTCTTTTGGAGACAAATTTTTAGGCTAGAAATTGATTCTTCCATGACACATGACAGAGGGAGTAAATCATACGTGTGTTCTATGGTGGGGACGAAGGGGACTGGGGAGTCCAATATAATTGCACCTTTCACCACTGCTGCTGAAGTATCTTTCAGACGCAGATTCAGTAACTTTGGTCCCGGATAATCTGCAACTTTGCTCTTGGAATTCACAGATTCAGTAACTTTGCTTTTGGAAAATTTGCAACTTTGCTCTTGGAAGTCACGACGCTGCAACTTTGCTCTTGATACAAAACAGTAGGATCGTTTTATTCTTTTATATATATATATCAAGATGTTGTTTGCCTGTTTTGTCAAAACAGTTTAAGCTTAGAGCTGTTCGTGAAGCTGAAGAAAAAAGAACTGTTCGATGGATATGTGCTTAATGGGCCTACATTCATTCTATCTCAGCTGTTGTACTTTAATTTAGTGGCTAATATAGTGACCTAGCTAGCATAGCTATTAAAACTGTTCCTTACTAATCCATGCCTCATGCCATCATCCAAAATAAGATGACAAATAACCCAAAATCTACATATTTCAGATGTGGCTATTGGTATTTCTTCATATTAAATAATCTTAAGTTGTACTCAAATGCTATGAATATATGAATGATGCTTAATTATATATTGTATAATTACAACTATGTGGTATTATACATGTCAAATATTAGGTTTTATGCTACCACAAAATGTTTTTTTAACACCCATTCACATTTTGAATACCTAGGCTCAAAATCCAGAGGCCCGCCACTTTCTATAACGACTCAAGTTTGTTTGTGCTACAACCGGCATGCTCGCTGGTTGGTATCTGGGCTTGATTTGGGCTGGCTGGTGCTGGTTTTTTTTTGAGAAAAAACACTGTTGACTGGTTGAATAAGCCTGGCTGAAACTTAGAGCATGCTTATCTACAGCTAGCTCTGTTTTGTTCCAAGGGCTATGTTTTTTAAGAGTTTTAGGGCAGCGGCTCGGTTTAAACTGTTACAGCAAGGCAAGGACGGATCAGCTTTAGTCTATATAGGCCTAGGCCTACCCTATATTTTGGCCGAAATTGTTAGTGCTACTCAGATTTAAAAGACAACTAAAAAGTTCAATATCGTTAAGTACTCCCGTCTTGAGACCATCTCTCCAATTGGCTGATACTCCTTTGCACTTGGACTCCGCTGGGTTTGGATTATATCGTTTTGAATGTGGAATATTAATTTTTGCTAGACACCTCGGGTTTAAATCCTGGGTCCGTCGATGAGCAAGTGAGCATTGAGGATGGCATACCATCCAAAGGCCATGTTTAGTTTCTCTATTTTGTAAAAATAATTTTGGATTTTGGGTCATCTTTTTGCAAAATGTAACTAAACATGGGTGTGAAAAGTGCAAAAAGTTTCCCTCCAAAAAATTTCACATTTTGGACTCCATACTCCCGAATCCGAAATTTTTCGCCTCGGTCCGCGGCCTGGACGCGCCTGTACCCCTCGCCCGCTCCCTCCCTACCCTATCCATTCGCTCGGCCGCCACTCTCCTTCTTCCTTTCCCCATCTCCATCTCCGCCACTCTCCTCCACCGCCGCCGCGCTGATCTCCCTCGCAGCCGCTCCTCTCAGTCTCTCCCCCACCTCCTCCATCGCCAGCCTTCACCTTCTTCCCCACACTTCCTTCACCGCGGCCGGCCGTGCCCTCTCCGCGCGTAGATCGGGCTTTCAAGCCGCGTCCGAGCGCTCATGGACGGATTCGAAGGCAACGGCGGCGGGTACGGAAACGACGATGGCACCCGCGATTTCTTCTCCCAACCAGAGCACTCGTCGGCTTTCAACCTCTACTCCAACCCGCCGGCGCAGTTCCCTAGCTCAAGCTCCATCATCGCTCAACGGGCCGGCCTCTCCTCCCTCGATCTCAACTCCAACGGCGAGGCTTGGCCCGGAATGGGGAGGTACGAGAACCTCCTACGCTACGGCCAGGACGAAGCAGATGGCGAGGGCGGCTTCTCCCCCTCTCCCGTGCGCGTCCGTGCCTCCGGGCGTACCCTTGGCGTTCGGACAGCTCGATCCGGCGGCGGAGGAGGCGGCATGGCCGGCCGTGCGGGCCTCAACTCCGGCGCTCCGCGTGCCCCACGGCCGCCTCCACTCTCCGGCAGCGGCACGCGTGGATCTTCGTCCACCGCACCTTCTGGACCTCTTTTTGTGCATGGCTGGTATTAATGGTCCAAAAACATCATTTATTATGGGCAAATCTGTCATCTTTTGCTACAGCTCAAAAGTTTTCAGGTACATCTAAACAGGGTCTGAAATTTTTTTGCAGAATTGAGTTTTCACCTTGAAAACATTTCGCAGAAAGTTTTCAACCCATTTCACATCTAAACACCACCAAAGTTCATTAGCGTAGGTAACACTCAAAACCTCGCCGATAAAAGAAAGACTACAGCGCAAAGAAGCAGAGCCAAATTAAAAGCTCTCCTCCAGAAGCTAACTAACGATCACCACCAGTATCTACCTTCAGGCCTAGGCTGTTCAGGCTGCACAATACATGGAACAGTGTTCTGTAGCCCAGGAGCTGAGGCACAGAACCTGTTGGGCTAGTTCTGTAGCCACATAACAGTGCCCGCAGGCTGCTGGCTGCGTCGTTCCTACCCTCCTGCTTTCTCGCGTTGCCATCGCCAATTCGCCATAGACATGAATGCGCCCATGTATGATGTCCTTTTGGTGCACGTAAACTCTGTGCACTGCATGTACGAGGCACTGATTCATGCACAACGTAGCTCGTAGCATCAGGTAAGTTCTGTAATAATCACTGGTAGTTCGTTAAACAGGCAAACAAATTTGGGACTAATTCTTGTGCTGTGGTGCAGCATCTCGTTACAAAGATGAGAGGCTAAGGTGGGATTTGTTCAGATAATTCCTTCAGTACTCATTAGTAGTACAAATCAACAAACACGACACTGCAAATTAAACCAGACAAACCAGTACTACAAACTACTAGCTAGGAACCACAAGCAACATAATTAAGCAGAGCCACTGATCACACTGACAGTAAGGAACATTTCAGCAACTACTAGTCAGACGAGAGTTCTCATCGGTACAGGCAGCCCTTGTACGCCGGCGTCCAGTAGTCCATGGCAGTCCCGTCCCGGTAGACTTCAGGGGTCCACGAGACAGGGACCAAGCAGAGCCCTCTGTCCCTCAGGTCGTGCTCTGCCTCATCTCCGCCCTTGCTCGTCTCTGCAGCAGCATGATCTCCCCATGGAAGCTGGTTACCCTGAAACAAGCGGCAACAGCAGCTGGTGTGAGTGAGAATGATTCTGCAATCCTCTCGGATAACGACGGAGGCATCTGGAACCTCGATCTGTACCTTGCTCCTGCTCGAATTCGTGTACGGCTCGCTGAGTAACTGCACGGAGAAAGAAAAAGCAGGAGGCCGTCAGCTGCATGCGTGCGTTAGCCCCAACTGAATGAGAAAGAAAGAAAAGCAGGAAGTCGGCCGTCTTGCGATTGCGACAGGCAACTATGCAAGCAGGCGCTGTCCTTTTCTCATGTCTTGGTGGTGTGTGTGTGGTGTGGGACACGACGGGATGAGAACATTCTTTATGTTCTTCTGGGCCATGACTAGGAAGTCCACCGATGAAAAGGGGGTCCAACTAGGTCAATATCATATGTGGAACCAGCTATACATCGGTCGCTGAAAGCCTGAAACGATTCATTGTATCTCTGAAGATGCGTGGCTCTGTGTGAGTGTACGTACATTGCCTAACTGTAGTACACTCTCTTTTTACTACTAATGCCAGGGTGAGCATAGGGATATTTTACTTTTCTGTGGAAGCTTTTATAGTTAGGTCAAAATGAGCAGAGCAAGCAATGCAGGGGATTTGGGGGAATGGACTTATTTACCTGTACTTGTTCATGCAGAAACTTGATGTACTTGATCGTTTCAAACAGCACTGATGCTGTATCAGTCTGAAAACACGGTGCGATTCATAAGAAAACAGTCTGAAAAGCCAATTTTGAAACAAATTATAAACCATATGCTAGTACCTTCCCAAATGGTGAAACGATCTGTTGCAATGCTGTGATCTTCTCTCCTATCTTCACTTTAGGCACTTGTTGCTGCATTTTTTTTTTCAAATCATCATTTCGTTGACATGCGAAGTGGAAATGATCTACCAGACTACCAATTTCACGGATAACTTTAGTATCTCATTTTTCATCTTCGTTGTTACCTTGGGAGGAGATGGTTTAGAGCCCTCTTGCTTAGACTTCTTCACGGTGCTCGCCCTTTCTTCTGACGCCCGCTTCTTTCGATCACTCGCCGCTCCACTGCCACTGCTGCTGCCCCTTTCCTGCAAGCAACACATCCAAATACATTTCACATGTTTATTTATTAAACACACATGGTTGACGAACAACTGCCATATGCATCAACAGATTCATTGCTCACTGGCATGAATATAATGGCATGCATGTTCATATCTTACCGACACAATATCCGGCTCTTGTTTACTGCTTTCAGCGAGATTGCTGGATCTCAGGTATAGTTGCGCTGACGATGTCGATTCCGCGGCTGATCTGCTGTAGCCACCGAAAGAACTGAGATCCGGCAAGCTCCTCATGCCAAAAGGGCTAGTTTCCAATGCTCGACTCCCCTGGCAAATCTTGTCGAGTCCTCCTGTGCCTGAATAGTCCAAGCTAGCATGCATGCCAACGCTAGCATTTGAACTCAGTTGCTGAAGAAAGGAAGCCATGGCCGGGGCTGCATCAAGTTCTTGCTGCTGGCTGCCGCCTTCCTTCATCTGATGGTGGTTGGCGGCGGCGTAGGAGTACCGCGGCGTGCAACCCACCATGTCCATCCCCTGCTGGTGCATACCAGTAGCACTCCCGAAGAACAGCGGCGAGCCGGCGGTGACCTCGTACTTGATCGGTGCAACATCAGAGCCTGCCCCGAATCTTGCTGACAGCGCCTGCGCGGCGTAGTGACCGGCGGGGACGTCCTCGAACATCTCCTGCGTCACGTTCTTCGACGCGAGCAGATCGAGGAAGTTCTCCTTGTAGCATGTGATGTTGCTTCTGAAAGCATAAACCGTCGTGTGTTATGTTAACCTACATGATTTTCACAGCAAAGAAACATGCGATAGCTAGATCGTCGCTGCTATAAGGCCATGCATGCGTATGTACTCACTGTTCGCCGTGCTGGCTCCATGCATGGCCTTGGACGGCGTGCTCCCCCGCTGCCGGAAGGCGCATGCCGGGCGACGATGAGCCGGCGTCGGTGGCGAAGGCCGAGCTGGCGCCGAGGAGCGCCGCCGTAGTCCCGTCGTAGGGGCTCCAGGAAGGGAAAGGAGATGCCGGCGACGAGGTCGTCTGCAAGGCCGCCGCATGTGCCGCCTGGTGATACTCCCACATGGTGTTAGCCGCCGGCGGCGAAGTGGACAAGCTGCGGCGCCTGCACACGGACACGGCCGACGACTCCTGCGCCTCTAGGTCGGTGGCTGATTCCTGCGGTTGGAGCTGGGGCATGAAATACTGGAGGCGGTGGAGGTGCACGGCGCCGCCTGCCTGCAGGTGCATCGCATGTGTCTACGGGCCGAAGGGTGGTGCATGCGATGGGGCCGTGGACCAAAGCTGATTCGTGTGGGGGCCTATTTTGTAGGGCGTCCTTGGAATATTTTCCGGTGGGTTTTTTTAGGATGATATGCTGCCGTCACCGTGATGCGAGCATGCGGCAAGACATCATTCAGAATTTTGGGGTCCCTTTTCAGTTTTCAAATATATAACATGATGAAAGGTGCAATATATAGTACAATGTTTTTTACCAAGAGGGTAGTATATATAGTGATCTGATGCTTCTGTGGCTTCTAACCAAGATTTTCTTGTGAAATCTCGACCCATTACTATTAAGTAGAGGTGAGGCCAGGTCGCCAATGCCTACTTTGAAGCGGCACGCAGAACACATGTCATCGAAGCTTATAGTTGCATTTCACTGGCTCGGAGTGGGTTATTCGCCCCGAATAGTTCTGACGTTAGTCTCATCAATCACAAGTATTTCTTCATTCTTAGATGTAGTCTTTTTTTTCCTTGATTTTTTAGATAAAGCATATAAGAATCTGGACTCTATATCCAAATAGGTTATATATATAGCAAAAAAATTACACGAGCTCTTAGGCTCAAAGCCTCACAGCTAAGAAACATAAAACAGAGCTAAAAAATGCTAGTGCTAGAAAGACTAAGCTTCAGAACTTTTTCTCCATCCTTGCTTTCAACATGTTTTGTCCTTGTATATCGCACGTCTTAAACAAAGGAACGAAACTAAAGTCCCTATCCTAATCCGACTTCACTATCCAAACTTGATGCAAAATTATAACATCATGGCCTCCAGCGAATCTTTTTTTCTTGATACGTCACGAGAAGGTTATAAGGTTTTGCTGCAGCAGTGGAAGAATACATCTACTTCAATTCATGAAGATCCCAGCACGGTCGCAAATGGCCAGCGTTGGGCAGAACAGAATAAAGGCAAGTCTGAATTCTTCAGTGAGATGGCAGTCATAACAAGCATCTTTCTCTCTTGTATATTAGATGATGGACGACTGAAACCGATGGTCTACGGAAGGTACTTGCAATAGCTCACATGAAGTAACTATATAGGGGGTTTCAGGCGAAACTGACACCCAAATTTTGTCTAGGATCCAACATCCAAGTCAGTTCGGTCACCATTAGGATCCCAGACAGTTCGGTCACCACAAATGCACGAACTTTGTTCTCTAACGAAAAGCATCCTCTGATACTCTCCACCCTGCCAACTGCATCCTCCTCCGAAAACGTCATTATTGTCCTGCACCGAATGATTCCAGCAACGGCAAGGTAGATGCTGCTAGTGCACGAGTACCAGTAGTGTTTGGATATGTCTCCGAGGGTAGTATAGCATCTACGCCATTCATGCCGAGTAGAAGGAGCCACTCACCACTGAAGCGTCCAATCACGTCACCACATAATTCGATCATACCAATCCCAGCTGACTTTTTCCCTCGGCTTTCACTATAACCATGGCCGGTGTTTATCATTGCTAAATGAAGCAACAGACATCATAACTCAGCTTGAACCGTTAGAGAGCGAGGGAATATTCCTAGACAACAGTAATCAGTGCCACTACGCTTTATAGTCTTGCTGCTACTTGAGTGGGTCAGCATTCAAGCTTGAAAATCTTCGATCATTGACCCCCCAGAAAACAAAACCTCTGTCGTTTACGCATAGTTCCCTACGCTGTCACTGCACTGCGTGCGCCACCTTGCCCTGCTCCTTTTACTCGGCAAGCAGCACTGGAGCAGAGTTTGCAGTGCAGCGGAAAGGGCTCCCTCGCCTGTAGCTGTAGGGTTGGTGAGCGACGGTGGTGGCACTGGCAGTGGACGATCGAGGGCAGGGTTTCACGGCTGCAATCACTTGATCTCTGACTCCTTTGCGTCACATAAGGCGTGTCAATGCCAGGAAAGCATGGAGCTGCAATCTGAACACAGATGAAAATCAACAGCGGGTCAGCTGCGGAAAGGGGAACAGGCAAACAGCATAATATTTTGTTGCTTTTACATAATTGAGGACACCCCATCTCTTGTGAAGCAAGTGGTTTGGTCCTAAATACATGATCAATTGAGTATACTGTATATATTATGACCGCACATAACACTCAATAACAGAGCATGTGCTAACAGTAAGGGATCAGTTTTTTTTTAAAGCAGGAACGTAGGAACATTCGATCAGATGCGAAAATTGATTAGCAAGCAGATGGTGTGGTGCCTAAGTCTATCATTGAGTAATATATGGGCAACGTAAAAATGAAACATGTGACCTTATTACTAAAGTAGCACTCTGCATATTTCCACTGAAAAGAAACTGCAGAGCTTTCTTCTACAGCAAGGGAGGCCTGCTAATGTAGTGATGTCATATTCAGGTTTCAAATAAAACTGTTACTTGACACCTTTTTTTTGGACGCGCAGGACTGTTACTTGAGACTGAAATCTGATAACAGAATGCTGAGGCTGTACATACTTTTTCATCTAAGACTGAGCAGTCGGCTAGTGCGACTATTACCGAATAATGATACTCAAATTGAAACACAAACTGACCACTGGTATATTTCACAACCGATTGGACTCTGGCACGTGGCCACGTAAAAGGGAATATAGTGGACTACAAGCTCAAAACGTGTCCCATCGAAAGCAGCATGCTTTAGATAGCCTTTCTTCAAATCAATGATATCCTGGACCCCCACTAGATTCTCGAAAAAAAACAATTGAGGACAGGCCAGGAATTTATTTATTTAGCAAAGGAACTTCAGTGGGAACCAGAATTGCTCATGACACTTGTCAGTATCAGAACATTTGGTCCGTGCTCAAATGGCAGAATGACCACTTTCATATGTTAAAATGCAGAAACGATACAGTACTTTATTTCAAGAATTTTAGACTTGCAAGAGTGGTGTCTTCCCACCAAAATTAAGGCAACATCCACTTTGGGTATAAAATCCTTACAAAACTCATCACTGATCACCTCCCTGATCTAACCCATATATATTGGCACTTTTAACAATTGAAACAGAGGACGGGGAGGCGTGCACCAATAATACTCAATAACTACCTGTATTTGGCTTTCTCCTCCACCTAAAGGAATGTTGTGAGAGGGACAGTAGCAAAACTTTTCAACCTGCTCGTTTAGCAGGGGATAAACATAGGACCACATTGTGTTTGCAATACCTCTAAGGTGTCTCCATTCATGGTGCAGGGGACCCATTCCGCACTCTGGGTAGTTTTCTGAGAAAAGCATGGCCATGAGAATTTTCCTTCCAAGGCTCAAAGTTAACAGCGTCAAATGGTGATTGGGGGTGAGATGTCAACCTAAGTGGGGCGGAAAAGTTTTCAACTTGAATTTTGACAAGAGGCAGGAAGAATCACCCTCCCTACTCTATCCACATTTACAATATGGTTAAGACCATTAACAACTACTTCAGGTCCATCACGCCTGCTAATAAAGCTTCTCAAGTGGTAATATTATATGCGCATGAATGACTACATGAGGACCCAACCTTTAGGAAAGTTAGAGAGACAAAACAGGGATAGGCAGCATTAATCACGCGCATCATATATTCTAAATAGAAGAGGGAAAGCGCATTAGGAGTATGCTCTGTGTACGGTGGTCTGGATGGCAGGCGGGTAAAGGAGTTCCTTTGTTTACTCCAAGTTGACTCTCACTGAAATGTGTCAACCACTAGAATAATATAAGAACAGAAGCTCGAAGGGGAAGGACAGACAGCTTGCTCACGCTCAATTTGAAACAGAGGACGGGGAGGCGTGCGCCAATAATACTCAGTAATCTAATTGTCCTCTGGGGTCAGCTACCTGTATTTGGCTTTCTCCTCCACCTAAAGGAATGTTGTGAGAGGGACAGTAGCAAAACTTTTCAACCTGCTCGTTTAGCAGGGGATAAACATAGGACCACATTGTGTTTGCAATACCTCTAAGGTGTCTCCATTCATGGTGCAGGGGACCCATTCCGCACTCTGGGTAGTTTTCTGAGAAAAGCATGGCCATGAGAATTTTCCTTCCAAGGCTCAAAGTTAATAGCGTCAAATGGTGATTGGGGGTGAGATGTCAACCTAAGTGGGGCGGAAAAGTTTTCAACTTGAATTTTGACAAGAGGCAGGAAGAATCACCCTCCCTACTCTATCCACATTTACAATATGGTTAAGACCATTAACAACTACTTCAGGTCCATCACGCTTGCTAATAAAGCTTCTCAAGTGGTAATATTATATGCGCATGAATGACTACATGAGGACCCAACCTTTAGGAAAGTTAGAGAGACAAAACAGGGATAGGCAGCATTAAGCACGCGCATCATATATTCTAAATAGAAGAGGGAAAGCGCATTAGGAGTATGCTCTGTGTACGGTGGTCTGGATGGCAGGCGGGTAAAGGAGTTCCTTTGTTTACTCCAAGTTGACTCTCACTTAAATGTGTCAACCACTAGAATAATATAAGAATAGAAGCTCGAAGGGGAAGGACAGACAGCTTGCTCACGCTCAACTTGAAAGATGTCATGCGTGAAGGTTGCCCACTAGTGACCCAAACAGGTTGGTGGACGGTGACAATGATAGGTGAAAATAACATTGCACCAATGAGAATTGCTGGTCTGTGTTCATTATGGTTGTAGTTGTAGATTAGTCTTGGACTCTTCTTGAGCCTTTTCTGTCGTGATATGGGGTAACTAAGTCAAAGGCATCGATAACTCTGCATGGGAAGATGATAGTCAAAATGCCAGTCCTGTCTCTTGAAATGTCATAGGGTGGATCTTGCCTTGGTCAGAATATAAATCAAACAGAAGATAGTGGCTTCAGCTTCATCACCAATTATCCCTTGAAGGTGAAATTGTACTATAGGACAAAATAGCAATTCATAATACAATGGAATTGCCAACTCAATTTTGTGAACACAATCTAGCTATGCTCCTATAATGCTTTATAAGGATCAATCCCATTGGCAGGGCCGTGCCGGCAAAAGTTTAGGCCCTGTTCTAAACTCTAA